CACACACACACACACATATATATCTATCTAAATATGTAACATATATAAATATATATATATATATGTAACACACACACACATATATATATATCTATCTAAATATGTAACATATATAAATATATATATATATAGATATAAATATAGATATGTTTTAGGGTTTAGGATTTTTAGGGGGGTTAAAAACCCTAAAACCGTAAATTCATATATATATACATATACATACATACATATAAATATATATATATATATACATATATAAATATATGCCAGTATATATATATTTATATATATCTGAGATAATAAAGTATATAAAGTATATATATATATATATATGTATGTGTGTATACTTACACACACACACACACACACACATATATATATATATATCTATAAATATATATATATACATGTATACATATATACTTATCTATATATATAATTAGATATGCACCATAATAAAATACATGTACATATAAATATATTCATATGCATACACACACACACACACATATATATATAAATTTCTATATATATATACAAGTATACATATATACATATCTATATATATAATTAGATATGCACCATAATAAAATACATGTACATATATATATTTTCAAACACATATATACACACACACACACATACATATATATATATATATATATATATATATATATTTTATATAATATATATANATATACTATATATATATATATATATATATATATATATATATATGGATATATATATATATATATATTTGTATATATACATACATACATATATATATATATAAGTGATGGTGATACGAATACATAGACATAAATCAGTATAACAAGAAGCAGACGGCGAAATAAAATTTTGCTATACAGTATGGGTTGTCAGGGAACGCTCACGAAAATATTATCCCCTAGTTTGCACACTTACAACGGGTGTCTTTACATGGCTGCAAGAAATATACTGTGTTTCGCTATGCATGCGTATAAAATTTTACCGGAACCGGCCAGTCCACTCTAATATTGTTCACATACTCCGCATTACTTCGAGCATATATCTGACCCTCACCACCCATGGTTATGAGCACATGAGCAGGACCCATAGTCAGCAACTCAGGTGCTATCTCGTTGATGCTAACTTCTTTTGTTTGTGTCTGTTTGTGTCAACATTTTGTTTGTGTCTGTTTGTGTCAACATTTTGTTTGTGTCTGTTTGTGTCAACATGGCAGCCTCATGCTCGTTCTACAAAATAATCAAATACACATCAATTCATGTTAGCAGTGGAGAGGTTGCTAGCGATATAGGCTACACCCAGATTTGCATGGATAAACACTAATACATACAGCGCATCGTATGCACTGCAAGCATCGCAAGCAGTACTTGTTATATCATACTTGAGTCAACAGACAACAATATATTTTACCGGCGGCGAAATAAATACTAAAATTTGACAAATAGAAAATCCGGTTCAAAAATCTCTACAAAATAGGGCCAGGTTAAAGGTTTTCAAACCCTATTTACTTCCCGCCTTTTTTTCCGATATTCATTAGGAAACTCTTTTCATTTAAAAAAAATATTTTCAAATTTGAAATTTGGGGTCAGTATTCGATAAATCGTTGGGCCTATAAGGGGGCCTATTTGCATGTCCAATGGGTAGAATTTGGGTCACATGTGGGCTGTATTTATGAGCTTTTATAGTTTTCTCTTGCGCCCTCACTTCGTGCTTGCTGAGGTATAATACTAAAATTCGCGTTAACCTTGCAGAACACACAAGCAATGGGAGGGTAAGTCTGACTCGTCCACTTTTATCGTACCTTTACTTCACGTGTGTGCGCTTTGGCTGTGGAATGTTGTGTTTACTACTGTACGCGAATGAGGATATCACAACTAAACCGGAGCGGTATTTGTCTACGACGAATCCGTGTTTATGACCTGTTTATCTCTAAGAAGTTCTGACGCGTTTCTGACCCTATACAACTGTTGTTTCTATTCTTTTCCTTTGTTACTTCACTGTATCACTATATGTTCTAACTTGACTGTCACTGTCTCTATGTCATTGCAGGATCAGAGACGCGATCAAAACTGGCTGTGGCTACTACGAGTTGTGTTTGTTGTCTGATGAGCAGCGAGCGTTAGCAACAATTTTAAGACATAGTTCCTGGGACCAAAAAATAGGTTCGATAGAGGATAGTGAAGGTACGCAACGAATCTGTTCCAGTAATAAATATAAATGGAGCTGGTTGCTGAATCAGGTTCGAATAGGTGAAACTGTACTTCATGAATAGTATGCGTACTAACATCTCGTACAAGTGCAAAATTTGAATAGTGTGTGTATTGAACTTTCCCTTCTAAAACTCTTGATTTCGAACTTTTTTAAAATGAGTGCAATAACGCAAACACTCACATATACGCACACACACACGTACACACGCACGCACAAGCATATATATATATATATATATATATATATATATACATTCACCACACT